GTCTGTGGTGAAGTATCGCAAACTACCACCACGGATCGCGAGTTGTCATCATTTATGGCCAGATCTAGGACGATTACCGATCGTCTTTTAGCCTCTGACTTCCGCACATGGCCAATGAAAACATGCTATTGATGATGAGGGTGATACACAAGTCGCAGACACGACAGACAAATTTTATCTTCGGGAGTTACACTTTTTCATTCTTGCTCAGTCTTGAGAAATGAAGAATAGCAGAGACTGTAGCTGACAAAGTCTGTAAGGAATAAATCGTTACCTTAGCTGAGATAAAGGATCACATGCGTGTGAGCGCTCAATTATTCTGGTACGTGGCGGACGTTATGCCAATCCTGTCTGGGAACAAATGGAGTAACGAATGCGGGAACCCCTCGGCAAATCTCTAACCAAAGTCATTATGTTGTTTTAATACCTCGTAGTGGATATAAAGAGCAAAACCCAAAGGAGTGCTTTCGACCGATTTGCACTCCTTAAAAAAAAATCACTCGATTATCCGTATTCCACGTCATGCGTACGTTTTCACGGCAGCTTTGCGGAAGCTGATTGATTACGTGGCGCCATTTTTAACTGTGAGTAATTTTCGAAAATACTACTGAGCATCCCATTACACACTGAAAATGAAGTGACGTGTCATTAGACTATTATTTGGAACTCGAACTAACCAACTTCTATTGCCGCATGAGCTGTGAATGGAGTTATACGTAAGTGTATTTAGTTGTATCAGACTGAAGCTCTTGCTTAATCGACAAACATTGCAACAGTATTCTAAACTACTTCAAGACTAGATTCTAGCTGAACACAACGCTCTCAGGCGCTTGAAACTATTGATGACATTAGACAACCCTTAGCCAATTGCGACTGAAATGTTTTCAAAACATTTTCCACGTGTTCTAATCCATCTCAATTCGATACCTATTAAAAAGTGGACAGTTAACTTCATGGGGAAGCATCATATCTAGCAAGTGAGGAGGGGTGGGGGGGGGGGGGGGGGGGGGGGGGGAGGTGAGCAGACCCACAGTTTATTTGAAATTGAAAATAGGGGGAGGAAGAGGAATGGAATTCGAAAAAATATGGTGAAAGCCAAAAGATTAGGAGAACGCTTTCACCAGAACATCAAAATACTTAAAATCAATAGCGATTTGCTTATCAAATAGTTTCGTCTTCCTTTTTATATGCATAAATACAGAAAAAAGTTCACTTGAATTCGATGTTAACCATCTTTAAATGTTAGCGTGTGGTGTCATGTTAAATCTTTTTCAATTGAACAACCTACAGTTGTGGCTGATGATGTCCAATGGAAAAAGTGAAATTACACTGAAGCATTTGTCTCTCTCCTCCACCTTCTTCCCGAGCGCACGCTTGCACCCTCACTTTGAGCTCCCATAGTCCACCTATCTCTCGCCGCACTAATGTTCCAACACCCATTTTGGAATAAAATATTGAAGGCACCTTCACTCACAATCAATCACCTCACGATAGAGCACCATTGCAATTTGACCGGTTAAGAGAGATTGACCTTGGCGCAACCCCCCCCCCCTCTTCCCCAAATTCTAATGAAAAGTGCAAATTGCGTTGCAATCAAATTAGTACTTACAACTGAACGATTGGAGTCATCAATATCTTGGTTTATAGTAACATCTGCCAGACTTCTATCAGAAACTGCCACTTGGGGTGAGATGAGGAAGCTAATCCCAGAGACATAATGGACCATACACCGTAAGTCATGTCTACTAAAAATATAAATACTTCATCTCAATGTAATTTAACAATGCTCCAACGCCGCCACAGTAACAGAGAAAAGGTGTCCAGGTGTTTAAGGTTAACTGAAGGTGCAATCAAGTTGTCACAGTATAAGCACTTTCGTATTACCGTTTTCCTTTCCTAAGGAAAGTAACTTCTTCATTTGACTAGGAAGTATCACACTCAAAAAGTCATCTTGAAAACAATCCACTGTTTGCTTATTTCGGAAAAGCTAGTTAGTTCCAGCATTGGCTTATCAAAAGTCTCTAGATCATGACTCATTTTTGCGCAATTAGCGCATGGAGTGGCCAGCTCAATGCCAATGTGTGAATGGTGAACGGAAAGCTAGATTTCCACGAAGAGGTAGAAGAGTAGGTGGAGAGTCTAAAGTAGAGAGACCTTTTACCTTTCACCTTCCTCGACAAATGTGACGAAGTGTGATGGAATGCATTTCTCAGTCAATTTTACTGATTTGATTGACACGAAGTGAGTGCAGGGTTTTCATGGGTTGCCCTCTACACATTTTATCTTGTTTTCAGAGTGCACAATTCTAAGGGAACAGCGAATGAGATGACCTGGAAGTGGTAAGGACCAAATCAATTTTCATCACCTCAATTTACTCACAGCTCTGTAATTAAGTACAGATTAAATTGCTACAGTGTGTACTAGTTAACCTTAACGGGCATGCACGAACTTTGATATGACCTGCATGCCGACTGTTCGAACTCTTGTTTCAGTGCAAATCATTATTCCAGTGACCTCAACAACCGTGGGTCTCTGAATTGCCTAATTAACTTTGTAGCATTTTAATGTGGTCTTAGCTAAGACACGAAACCAAGCCAAGAAAGTTCTCGAATAGTTGTCATATCTCATTAGCATTGGATTGACCTCATTCGTACAGACTTAATAACGTTAGTACGTGAATGGAACATCATATTATTGTTGATGTAGTCTCAAGTCACTTACCGATTTTCTCCAATCTTACAAAATTCACATCTCATAAACCATGGTGTTATGAATTAATGAGAAAATACTCTCATGATTGTTACCGGATTCGACATTAAGTAAGCAATCGAAATTGAGGCGGAAGGGAGTTGGCAGATACTCATCTATAAACGGTGTACGACGGTGTGGAATCGATTCTCGCTGTGAAGGGGAGCTTGCTCCAAGTACAAAAAAGTGAATATTAGTGGAAGACAATTATACAAAAATTTGACCTAATTCTGGCCATAAATGATAGCAACACGCGATCCGTGGTGGTAGTTTGCGATACTTCACCACAGACAGTTCACACGAAGAATTTAGGTCTTTGGGTTCCGGCACAGTAACACGTGCAATTGTTATTTCCTTACTTATGGGCCAGTTGGTAGTGAATAAAAGCTGATCCAAGGCAATATATTTGTGGACTCATACAGCATTGAAGTGGAGGGAGGGGGAGGGGCGATTATGCTATTCCACCCCTGAATATCACTATCACTCGAATACAACTCGAAGACTCCTCAGGTTGTTGTGCCTTTAGGCATATCGAGTAAAACCGCTCCCACGAACTCAGTCAATATCTTCTCACTATTGGCAGTCTTCACTATACATGTTTGTGATTCTTCAATCCGTTCAACTGACGTTAATAAGCCTCATTCACCTTATCTCATAACACCTAACACAGGAACTCCATTCATTGGAGATTGTGGAAGGACCGTAGTGAGAAAAACTGAGCGCCTCCTTGGAGTCTGCTCTTTTTGTGAACGCTTTCACGCGTTTTCAAATGAAGTCGAGGAAATTGTGGAAAAAGATACATCATCACAAGTGGAGATGAAATGAAATATCACTATCAGGCGAAGTTCACCAATTATTTTGAAAACGTAGATTTATTGGAATAGGTTGCTTATCAACGTGTAACAATAATTGTTTGTTCAGGAAAGCAGACACAGAAATAAAATTGAGTGGACTGGGCCATGAGGACATTACTAGGCTAATTACTGAAAGTTCGCTGTTTATGTGTTCAAACTAACAAGGTTATAGTGGAATAGAGGTCATCTGGAGTGATTTCAAAAGGGGTGGTGAAAGTGGCCCAACTCTGGTCAAACAGATGAATCAATGGATGAGCCAATGAAAAGGCAGCATCGTCTGTAAACCAATCAACATCAAGCAGTTGTGCGTATAAGGGCAGCACTGTATCAAAATGAGAACAGAATAATTTAAGGAAGACTGCGTGCGGAACATTGTGTCAACCGTTTTTGCTTGATGTCAGCCGATCACAAAATGAGCGGTAAGGTGTTTGCGTTCACTAACGTTGTTGCATATTTGCGTGAATAAGAAATCTCAATTGTGATGAGGTTAATGATTGCATATTTATGTGTCTCATTTGCAGTGGAATCGGCATCTCTAATGAATCTTTGTCTCAAGGCAATTGTCGACAATTTTGATTCTCTCGTCACAAAGTGCGATGATTGCGCTGAACCGAAGCTCACTTGGCGCCTTCCGTGCCCTGATTATGCAATCCCCTCTCCCATGGCCGATATGATCCTCAAGAGGCTGAGTGATCGCAGACTACTAAAACAAGAACACTTGGCCCTCTTTTCCAAGCAATATGTGGATCTGCAATCCCTATCACTTCGCGATTTCCCCTATTCGCCATCATTGATCCCCGTCCTTCGTGATTTCACCTTCTACTATATATCTGCCGTTAATGTAGACGGCATCGACCTCAATGATTTCATCAGCGCTTTCAGCGAACGAACCGTGGAGGCTCTTCACACACTCAATGTGAGAGGTATGTGCATTGAGGAAGAAACAAAGTTGTGTGCCATGGATGCATTGGGCCAATTTCAAAATTTGTCCCATCTTGATATCAGTCGGACAAATTTGGATTCCCAATGCCTCAATGTTTTGGTGAAATCATTGAAGCGATTGGCATATCTCGATATCTCGGAGACGGAGGTAGTCGACATTACCTGTTTGACGGAACTGAGAACTAGGCTCCAGAGTCTTCTCCTCAATCAAATTGAAGTAGGTGGTGAACAGTCCCTCCGACAAATGCTGTTGACGATTTTGGAGCTAAAGGAACTCCGAACTCTAGAAATAGCCAACTTTAAACATCACTGTGAATTCCGACCTTGTGAAGTCGACCAACTAATAGAGCCAGGTGTGTTACCGCATTTGAAGCATTTGGAGATGGGTGGCAATCCACTTCGATTTACACTCCGGGACATAGAGTAAGTATCATGTTTGTTCGAAGTTTCCAATTGCTTAGATATCCTGTAAAGTGATTGACACCCAAATGTTCTTCCACTCTTTACACGTGATCTCTTATTCACTTTGATGTATTGGCAATTAAGATCTCTTGAATTCGAAGTCAATCATTCACTCCACTTTAGAAATTTATTTATTTATTAAACGTTTTGTTCTTTTTCCACAAGGAAATTAATTGCCAATAATTCAGCGTTGAAATTTCTGGGACTCGTTCAATTCACCCCTCTATTCTTTGAAACGAATGTCGAAGCGAACTTATTGGCCGAAAAATATCCTCATATTAAGGTGAGCAGTAACCTCCACCATTAGGTGAGCAGTTCGTGAATGAAGTGAGCTTTACTTGTGGAATCAGTGCTCAATTCGTAAAACGGACTTTGAATTTCTACTCTCCTTTTCTATTAACCCAAAACCTCAATACACCGCATCATTCACAACTAATCTGTTTTAGATATTGGGTGGGGTTGGCGATAGTCAATCCACCGAAGCACTACAATACTACACAGGACGACATGTGCACATAGCTTACGCCTTAGAGCATGTCGCAAATGCATTGTTCAGTGGAGAATATCAGCCCTCTCCAACCTTTTCAAATGTGAGTCTCATGTTTGAACTTAGAACTAGCGATTGATGTCAACTTATGTCAACTTTGCTTTATTTTCATGCCTTTAGTTTGTGGGTGATTATCTGGCAGCTGAATATGAGGAGACAGGAGTTATGCATTGGCCGTTTATTTTCAACATAACAGCAAGATTGCAGGAGGGGACTCAGAATATTGTGCCAATAGAACTTCTGCAAAGCTTCCTGAAATACATCCTCATCGTGATTGACGGGGAGTGCATGAAGATTGCTAAGAGGAGAGAATGTGGTGATGATTTCGCTGACGATGACATTGATGGTCTGCGTTCTTTGTACATTAATCTTTCTATTCGATTTATGGGAAAGTTGGTCAGCATTGATGAAGTTGTAAGTCTACACTCTCAGTTCCACTTGATTGGCACTTCCTATTGATTTAACTGCATTAAACTCCATCTCTCTAGGTGTTTGATTACAAAAGATGCTGTGGTGCTCTATTTTCTATTCTCAAACACGATGTCACTTTTTCAACCAGAGACAAAGCTGTCGAGTGCCTCACGAAGATGGTGAAAAGGGTAAGTTGGAGAATTTCTCGTTTTCAGCCAATGAGTGCATTTCGTCAGTAAGTAGTGCTCCCAGTTGGATCTTATTTGCCATTTACAGATGTTGTCTTGGTAAAATAGGTCCAATGGGTGAAAAGAATAGGTGTGTGTGTGTGTGGAATAATAGGCGGGAATATTAGCCGAATGTGGGAAGTTTGGAAACAAGGTGGAGGATTAGACGTCACATCGACTGGAGGACCACTTAGATAGAGACGAGGCAAGGTCTTGTTTGTTAGTGGAGTTGAGTGGGTTAGGCAAGTGAAGATATGAATCACCTCCCGTCTCCCATGTGAAGAAGATGCAAATGAAAGTGAATGTCACGTTAGATTTCGAATTCTGTTCACTTTTCTAATTGGATTTGAATGTGTTATGCATTTGAGTAGTCAAATGATTTCATCTATTCTCTATTTGAAATCATTGAAGATGTCAACAAGTGAGTTGGCTGCAATCAGTTCAAATACCGCGTACATGGAGAGTCTAGTCAAATGTACAGCAGAAATGTACCTTCGTAAGAATGTTGTTGATAAAAGTGTTGGGTGAAAAAATGATGACAGACTGACGTATCTCCGTGACTTTTATGAAATGGCGAGTGTAAATGTGTACATAATTGAAGTTTTTAACACGTTCTGCACTAGTTGCTACTCAGCGAGTCAAAATTTCATTAGTTGTGGAGATGTGAAAGTTTGCACCCTCATTGTGAAGGTAAGAATTGTGGAATACCGTGCTTGTAAAATAAGTACTTACCGTTAGAGTTGATGAGGCAATTTTTTACGAATTCTCTCTCTATTGTAGAATTTGGAGTTGAATGGTAGTATGAGAGAAACGACTGATCGTCTGGAAGAAGTGTGGGAGGATGATCAATCATCCATAGACTTAATTGACTGGTTCGTCTAATGACCCTGGTTTAAAATGGAAATTCGCGCCACCACAGAGCAAACACTTCTCCCTTTCACTACCACAATCGTTAATTTTAATTGTTTTAAAAGTAATAAAATACTAAGAGCATTGAAATATTCTGTTATGCCATTTACATATGCCCAATTGTTTTCACGTTAAATGAACAATGTTGTGCTGTTCGTCTGCCAAGCTTGCAATAAACCAATCCTGTTGAAGTGAAGTTTATCATTCAACATGAAAAATTTTGTCTTGCTTTTCTTTAATCACTCACATAAAGATCGTCTCGCCTATTTCCTGACTTCCATTTGGAAGAGTCTCCCATGGATTGGCCAATGGTTACTGCATTATGCTCAATTGTCAGGAACTTGATAATGACTGAGCAAACTGTTGGATCCATTTAAGAACACCTTTATTAATCAGGTCACTTTCAAATTAAATTTCACATTTTATGTATTATCAGTGAAAATATTGATGAGATGATTAATAATAGATTGGTTGTTAAAAATACCTCTACTTCGCTTGCTCAAAGTGTTGGTATATCTCAGATTCATTGAAAAGTGTTTGGATGCCACTCAGTGACTGCGTATTCCCACCTCCTTTGTTAAAAATGTTTTCAAAATCGCTGAACAGGTTCGCCCAAAACAAAACCGGCTTCCACTCACTTTGCTTCTACTTATTTTGTCTACTTAAATACTCAATAGTAGTGGGTCGGATGTGAAATTGGCGTAATTGTGGCTTAAAATTGTAAATTCCATTTGCTTCCTGAACATGTGGCAACTGGTGTTGTGAACATTAGGACAAATCCAGGCAACAAAAACTTTTTTAATTATTCTCACTATATGACCTTCGAATAAGGTTTCTGGAAAGGGATTATATGTATATGTAAGTATTATATGAACCAAAATTAAGCAAAACAACTTACGATGAAATATGAGTTAAAAGTAAGAGGTCAACTGGATGATTTCTTGTTCAATACCTTACAAAGTTGAGATACGTGGTGCTAATGCAAAGAAGCACACGAGCGTCAAACTATTAAATAGGGGAATATATGAGGAAAATCACCAGTCTCAATAAATCTACCTCCATGCTTCTTGAGAAGCCTCGCTAATGCCAAACGTAGTAGTATTAAGCCATGTATAGTTGGAAAGTGGAGCTGAATAGAATCATTTGTCTCACTCTACTGTTGAAAATACACATGTTGGCCATTTGAGACGGTGTTTAATAGGTGGGATGAACATATAGTGCACTTCCTTCCTGTGAAAATGCTCGCTTTCGAAAGAGCACTCAACCCTCATAATATACTCGGAAGAAAGCGAG